TCTCAGGCTGATTTTGTTGGTCAGTCATTTGTAGATCACCCGTGGGGTCTGCGCAGGGTGGTGCACAAGTATGCGGTTCATCCATATGATCCTGGTCAGCCATTTGCAAATCCCTCGTGGGGTCTACGCCATGTGGGATTAAATGCAGTCCAAGCAGATCATGTTTATATTTTTTTCTTTTCATAATGAATATATTGTCACATATCTATGAACTAAAAGAGCGCACTTCGCGAAACAAACGGTAAAAATAGAAAAAAAATCACCACCCACAGGAGGGGCACACTGAAACCATATATTTCTCTCATTCTTCTTTTAACAATCCCCTCACCGTGCCTCTCACGTACAACGCGCGCCACGTTGATGAAGTTGAGCACGCGCTGCCCGCAGTAAGAATTACCTTTACCACTCGAGGAATAAAGCTAGGTTACCAAATGTCTGATTGTCGAATGTCTCAGTCGGACTTCCTGGACTCGAGTCGTCTGGGATCCTGAACAACTAGATTTGTGCAATCGACTGGGGCCACATGTCCCGTTTTGGTACCGAAGCCCCACGCTCGCCTAGGGGACCCCCCAAAAAAATTATGAGGTGAAAAAAAGAGGGTTTAATGGGGCCTAATGGGCACACATTGCCACATGGGAATCCTTCAACAATTGCAGCACTTGCAACTGCTGAAAAGTTCTGCAGCTGCAGAAGCACAGCACCTGAACCTGTTTTTGCAGCTGCGGCCGCAGCACTTGCTGCACCGGCTGTTGCAGCTGCGGCCGCAGCACTTGTTGCACCGTGTGTTGCAGCTGCATCTGCTTCAGTTGCTGCAGCTGCAACAAAGTGCTGAAGTTGCAGCAACAGCTGCACCAGCTGTCGCAGCTGCAGCACTTCTCACACACACTTCATGTTGCTTGCTATAGAGATCAAACCGTTGCATTGTTGCATTGTGTCAACTCAAGTGTTTTCGTTGCCTACAATAGGACGAAAGTTGCTTCGATTTTGGGTCTGCAGCTGCAGAACTTGTTGCAGCTGCAGCTGCACCAACTGCTGCAGCAGCAACAGCACCTGCAACTGCTTTTGCAGCTGCGGCCGCATCACGTGTTGCACTGGCTGTTGCAGCTGCATCTGCTTCAATTACTGCAGCTGCAACGAAAGTGCTAGAGTTGCAGCAACAGGCACCTGCTGTTGCAGCTGCAACAAGTGCAGCTGTGGCAACAGCTGCTGTCACACCTTCAGCACTTTTCATACACACTTCGTGTTGCTTGCTATAGAGGTCAAACCGTTGCATTGTTGGATTGTGTCAACTCAAGTGTTTTCGTTGTCTGTAAAGCTGCTTCAATTTTGGATCTACTCATCTGCATGGAATAGGGGCTGTTGTGGTGGAATAGGGGCAGACCCAGTGCGAGGCTCAAGGCCTCGATCTGCCCTACTGGGCCCTATTTTCTGTGTGGGTGATACGAGCGTGTGGGTGATACGAGAGACCTGCCTGGTGCTTGAGGCAAACGACATTGGCCGAGATCTGCTCGTACTTCGGGGAGCTGTCGACGTCATCAGCGGCATTGTAGATAGGATAGATAGGATCTGCCATTGTAGTCTGGGCGCCGACATTGGTTCTTTGTTGATGATGATGAGTCTACTCGAACATTGTCACTTATGAGCTTTTGCTGCTCTCTTATTTGGTGTGACTCATGATGCAATTCTGCTTTTGGTTTGAGGTCCCGACTATCTGGTCTCATATGTATGATGCTGTTTGGTTTCTGAAGTTTGCTATCGCTCATATTCCTTGCAATTTGGTATCAGAGCTGTGGTACGGAGCGCTCATCTGGCGCTTGTCTTCTGCCTATGCGGTACATGCATGCGCTCTGCTAAGCGAGTGGCAGCAGGGAGTGTGTAGTGAGGATGGCGAAGGCAAGCAGGCGACCCAGGTGGAGAGGGGTTCGCCAGGAAGGCTTAAGTGGTGAATTTTGGGTGTTCGCAGTGCGATGAGAACTATCTAATGTGCGATTGATGATGAGGTGGAACGGCAGTGTAATGTGGGTTGTGCCGAAGCAGCGATTGGTCATCACAATCGGCATCGGGTCATCTGGTGAGAATATATGTGGTTGGGGGCAGCTATTTTGAGGTACATTGCACCTAACCTTATCTACCCTCTTCGACACTTCTTACCGTGAGGATGTGTTCTGTCTCGAGAGTCCTCTCATGTGAGAAGTTGAGTGCGCTCAACCTTGAGAGTCGTCAGTGTTCACGTGGAGCATCTGGAAGGAGAGGGCGGTGCTATCTGAAGGGCCCTGGACGAAGCACTGGGTCACGGTCACCATGCCAACCCACCGGGAGTAGAGCACGCATGCTTTGCTGCTTTGTCCTTTGTCTGCTCGCTGTGCTATAGATGGATTCTGAGGGGCAGGCCAGCCCTATGGGAAAGATGAGTACCAGACGTCTATAAATAAGTAGCGGTGGGGACCTTTCATTGGCTGTGATCGTCGTCCTGTTTGCGATGTTAAATAATTCCTGAGGACTTCGGGGGCCGTCCATAAAAACGCCTCCTGATCAGCTAATCGGTCGGTGTAAGGCTTGCTGCACGCGAGGATAAATATGGTGCAGGGATGGCCAGCTCAGTAGGACTCGGGGCACAGGGGTGGGCCGTGTGCACATTTAGACACGCACGCTATTCCAGATTGCTCAGGGACGTTGACAACAAGAGACATTCAGGAAGAACTGACGGAGGGGTAGATTACAGGTGATAAGTTTGGGAAAGATTCCATCCTGCAAACAGCCAATCAAATGATTCTGTTTTTATTTTGACTAGTTAGATGTACAGCCATTAACATCTGACAGACAACATAGTTAGAATTGTTTCCTGTTCATTGTGCTTTCTGTTTGCGAACTAGTCGAAGACAAAACAGTTTCGTTTGTAGGAATCTGAACTTACCTGTTGGACCCAAATGTATATACTCTGATTTAGCCACCGATTAATTATTTAATTATTTTAAATCGGTCTGTGCACTACGCTGCGGTGGGCATCAAAGAGTGACCTAGTGCAGATTGTGTATAGTTTTGTAGCTTATGAGCGACAGGGATACCACTAGCAAGGACGACAGGATCTTGCGATCGGCTAGACGCCCGATAGCCCACTTGGCCTTAGGACCAGAGGGTGACCGGTTATTGTTCCGCCGGCTTAGGGAGAGGCAACAGCAGCAGCGGACAGCTAGGGCAGCAGAGGCCAGCAGGGCGTTCGCAAGCGAAGCCGCTGCTTCAGCAGCCATGGCAACTGCTGCGCAGCAGAGTTCCCAGGCCAGCAGTTCAAGGACCGTGAGGTCAACGGTTGCACAGACCTTGAGTCAGTCCACTGGCGTAATGGCAAGCCAGCCAATAGTGTTCACCCCTGAAGAGGTCGCCATACAGCAGCCAGCACTGCAAGAGGCACAGTTACAAAAGGCTCTAGGAGAGATAAAGGCAGAGAAAGAGAAGATGATTAGAAGAAGAGCCAGGTTACAGCGGAGATAAGCGAACATTAGCGAGTTAGAGGGGATGGATCTGACACGCATGGATGATGATATGAGGACTCTGCGTGCAGTCCTGCGACACGTAGTAGAAATGCAGGACCACCAGACGACTCTCTTATAGGACATCTAGCAGAGTCTGGCTGTATTAGTTGGGCGAGCGCAGACAGCTCCATCGCTGTCCGGGTCCCGTGCCTGGCCCGTTGTACATCCTCCTTTTGTCCCACCGGTGACTGGCGTATCCCCATAAGTCTCTCCAGCATTCGGTCCAAGCCGCTTCCCTAGGTATGCCGCTAACAGGAGGGTTCTCAGCAGGTCCTAGTGTACAGGTTCCTGTACAGTCAGTGTATTCCTTACCTCCGTCGCAGCTTGCCGTAACCGGGCTACCTGCTGTCTCGCAGCCTGCACACCCGCAGGGTACACAGCCCTAGCAGCAGATAGTGCAGCAGTCTAGTCCCCAAGGTCCATAGCCTGGAGTGGGACAGGTACCCGGACAAACCCAGCGGGTTCCAAAGACGACCGTCTCCTCTCTTAAACCCTTTTCAAGGGACAAGAGGGGTGAAGACCTCGACACATGGTTGAGGTCAGCGCCAGTCTATGTCAAGTGTAAACTGACCTTGCCGCACGAGGAAGTGCTTCTGGTTGCCTCCTATTTAGAGGGAAGTGCAGCAGGATGGTTGATTGGTTTAGTGCAGCTACAGGGATATGATCACGACTTCCACACTTGGATAGTTAACCAGAAACTGGACGACTTCCTCCAGCAAGTGGAGGATAGGTCGCATGATCCTCACGAGGCTCAAAAGGCCACAGATGCGATCCTAACTCTGAACAACAGGCAGTTCAAGTCAGTAAAGGAGGCCACGAACGCAGTAGAGCGTCTGATCTTTGTTCCTGGAGTGCGCTACGACCCCCAGGTTTTACTCACCTCATACCTGAGATGCTTTCCTTTTCCTCTCAGGAATCAGTTGGCAGGTGAGGCCAACATCAACATGCACAACTTCCCCTCGTTCAACAAGAAGGCCCTGAACCTAGAAGCAAAGATAAGGCATGGACATACACCCACGACGGACGGAAGGAAGAAGTCACTGCCTCCCAACTGGAAGGCGAAGGGTCACATCATGTTCGTCAATAACGATGGTTCTACCATCGAGTTAGAAGACGACTTCCAAGCGGGAGCGGGTTCAAAGGCGGGCAGCGTAGAGGTTTCAGGGGGTGGAACAGCCGCTGCCACTGTCCAAAAAGGTAAGGCGACTGGTAGACGTCGTGGAGGTTCCTGGTCTAGGAGTCAAGTCGACCCTAACGCTCCTCCATGGGAGAAAGCGGGTCTCACAGAGGACCGGTACACCAAGCAGGCCTGTATTCGTTGTGGTCAATATGGCCACAACCAATTTAAGTGCCGCAACAAGAAGGTGACCGAAAAGATCCCGCCTACTATGGGGCAGGCATTGGGATCCTCCGCTCCCGTAGGTAGCAATGTGGCCAGCAGTTCTGGCACTGCTCCGAGAAACACGTCGGGTCAATAGGAATAGTAGTTGTTCCTGCTAGGGTCGAGGTGGTGGACACACCCCCACCATCTCGAGAGATGGCCCAAGCTACTGACTCCATCGTCGTCCCGCAAACTAGCAATCCTCTGTTCGCTAAATGTGTTCGAGTCGTTAGAGGAGCTAAAGGAGGAGTGGTCTAGATCGAATCCGCTAGCTTCTTGGACGGCCATGGCCAAAGCCCCAAAGGGTGCGTTGTTCGTTGGCGAGGTTGTCATTGGCAGCCATACGCCCGGGGCCTATTATGACACTTGCTCGACGCGAAACTTCATTAGTCGCGCGTTCATTGAGAGGTTGCGCTTAGAGGAGCAAGTGCAGCGCCTGAGTCGACCTGTGGAGTCGACCTTCGCCAACAAACAGCGCATGGTAATCAGCGACTACCTCAAAGACATTGAGTGTCTTTTCCCATACTTTGGAGGGGAACTGAGCCATCGAGTCTCGTTCCTAGTCAGCGATGATCTCCCTATGCATATCTTGTTAGGTATGTACTACCTCACGGTTGCACAGCCCCAGTTTGAGAGGGATCGAAAAGTGGTCAAACACACTTCGTCCGAAGGGGGGACCGCCAGATTACGCAAGTTCAAGGCTGGTAGTCTGATCGAGTCCTGTTGATGCATGTGTGCAGCCGCATTCTATAACTATTATAAGCAAAATCTGGAGAAGGGTATGTAATTAGTTTACATCTCTGCAAAGGGTGAGCCGGTGAAAACGCCTCCAGAGATGGAGGGAGTGGTCGCTAGGTACCCTGATCTATTTGAAGAGTCGAAAGGGGTTGTAGAGAGAGAGGTCGTCCACGCGAAAGAGATTATCCCAAGGTCTAGCATTCCGAAGGGTAGAATCTATCGGATGTCTCCAGGTGAGCTCGATGAGCTTCGCCGACAACTCAAGAATCTCATAGACAAGGGTTGGATCCAGCCTAGTGTCTCCCCTTACAGATCGCCAGTCTTATTTGTACCGAAGAAGCGGGGACCCTTGAGGATGTGCATTGACTATAGGGGCCTCAATGCCATCACAATGAAAAACGTTGAACCCCTACCGTGCATCGACGACTTGTTGGATCGAGTGCAAGGGTGTCGGTACTATAGTAAGATAGATCTGAAGTCCGGGTACCATCAGATTGCAATACGGCCCAAGGACCAACACAAAACCGCATTCCAGACCAGGTACGGTCTATACGAGTTTGTGGTGATGCTTTTCAGCCTTCGCAATGCTCCTGGCACCTTTCAGCGCGCGATGAACCGGATATTTGATGACTACTTGGACAAGTTTGTCATTGTGTGCCTCGTTGACATACTCATCTTTAGTAGGACTGTCGAGGAGCATGTAGCGCACTTAGATAAAGTCCTTAGCCTCCTCAAACAGCACCAGTTCAAGATCCACCGGGATAATATCTCGGTCCTGAGATTTCCACAGGGTTTGAAGCCCGATGACGAGAAGGTGGCCAGCATTCGTGACTGGCCGCGTCCTCAGTCTGTGACTGAGATGAGGTCCTTCTTAAGGTTGTCAGGCTACTACCGCAACTTTGTTCAGAATTATAGTATAGTGGCCACCCCTTTGACAGACCTGACACACCTTGACACCCCATAGGAGTGGACAGACAGGTGTGAGGCTGCTTTCAAACAGCTAAAGCATGCGTTGACACACCATGAGGTCTTGAAACCTCCTAGATCCTAATAAACCTTTCGTTGTGACTACGGATGCCAGCCAATATGGCATTGGTGCCGTACTTGCGCAGCAGGACGGGAAGAAGTTGAGGCCGGTAGAGTACATGTCCAAAAAGATGCCCTCTCAAAAGTTGGCCAAGTCTACCTATGAGAAGGAGCTCTATGCGATCTACAAAGCGCTAACCCATTGGAGGCACTACCTCCTAGGTCGTTTCTTCTATGTAAAGACTGATCATCATACCCTGAGATGGATGAAGACTCAACCAGCACTCTCCAACGCTCTTAAGCGTTGGATTGAAGTCGTTGAGCAGTATGACTTCGAACCCCGGTACATCAAGGGGGAGTACAACAAGGTTGCTGATGCGCTGTCTCGTAGACCAGATTTTCTCGATGCGCTGGTCACTGAATTTGGGCTTGCGGACGATGTTACTTAGTCTTTGGTGGAAGCATACTTGCAACCGCACGAGCCGCACATTCGTGCGGAGTTCCGTGCGGGGGGTGCCTGTGTTGAATCGTGCAGCTTTTCATTTTTATTATTATTTTTTAAATTTTTTGGGGAGGGGGAACGGGGGGGTGTATGACAGGAAGATGGGGATATGGCGAGGAGAGGGGGATATGGAGAGGAGGAGGAGGATGTGGACTGAAGAGGACGAGGAGGAGGATGTGGATTGAGGAGGACGAGGAGGATAGCGAGGACGACTAGGAGTCATCGAGATGGGGGGAGGAGAAGAGATGGACGGAGGGAAAAGAGGAAGGGCAGGAGGAGGAGGACGAGCGGAAGGAAGAGGAAACATGGACGACAAGGAAGGGGAGGACATGAGGAAGTGGAGAACATGAGGAAGGGAAGGAGACGTGAAGGCATGGAAGATGAGGAAGTATGAGGAGGAGGAGACAAGGAGGATGAGAAAGAGCACGAGGAGGAGGAAAAACTTGAGGAGGACGAGTCGAAGGAGATGAAAAGGAGAAGGGAAGAGGAGACTTGGAGGATGAGGAAGGGAGGAGGAGCAGGGTGAGGCAGCACTCCTGCAAAAAAAATATCATCTCGTTTGTAATTTTGGCGGGGGGCCTCAAACGCACCATCTCGAACCTGGCCTTTTTTTTTCTGAGGGGGGTGACGGGTCGTTCGCCGCACACGTCGTGCGCCGCACGGGATCGGTTGGGCGCGTGCGCCGCATGTAGGGAACCGCCCGCACGACGTGCGCTTGCAAGTATGGGTGGAAGCCTATTGCAAGGACCCATTCATGTCAGAGATCATACGCAGACTCGAGGCGAAGGATAAGCTACGTGTGAAGAGTTTGAATTGATCAATGGCCTGCTGTTCCTTGAGAAGGCCGGGAATAAACGTCTTTGTGTGCCTAATCGGGAGTCTTTGCATAGTTTATTTTTAGGAGGGTGTCATGATGCCACCGAACATTTTGGGTATAAAAAAACTGCAGCAAATTTGTTGCAGCGGTTCACATGGCCCACGATGATGAGAGATGGAAAACTGTATGTTGAGACTTGTCAAGTTTGTCAACGTGACAAGCCCCGGACACAAGCTCCTCTCGGGTTTCTCAAGCCCCTTCCCATTCCGGAAAGACCTGGTAAAAGCTTGTCCATGGATTTCATGGATACGCTAGTCACCAGCAAAAGTGGCATAAGGTACATCTACGTCATCGTGGATAGATTTAGTAAGTATGCTAGATTAGTAGCTATGCCAGAAACAACAAAGACCGAGTACGTGATCAGACTATTTAAGGAAAACTGGGTCGAGACTTTGGCCTTCCGAAGTCTATGATAAGCGACAGGGATGTCCGATTCACCAATGATCTGTGGAAGTCCGCAGCTGCCGAACACGGAACGCAGCTGCAGATGACATATGGAAACCATCCGGAGGCAAATGGAGAGGCCGAACAGATGAACCGCGTTGTTCAACACTTGTTGAGGCATTACATTAAGCCTAATCAAGTGGACTGGAATGAGAATCTCGCTCTCATCGCCAACCTGTACAACAACGCAGTTCATAGTACTACGGGAGTAAGTCCTAACAGCCTACTACTAACGTTCAAACCTATACTCCCTCTTGACTTTCTGCTACCTGACAATCAGCCCACTACTGCATCCAGGAACTTTGGAATTTGCTTATAGATATGAGAAGCATATGCAGCAGGCAGTAGAACACATGCACAGAGCACAGGCGGCGATGATCGAATCTGAGAACAAACACCGCCGCCCATCTACATTTCAAGTAGTAGAAGACATGCACGGAGCACAGGTGGCGATGATCGAATCTAAGAACAAACACCGCCACCCAGCTACGTTTCAAATAGGGGACAGAGTCTGGGTCAAGGCTTCTGAACTGGGACAGGAACACGGGATCTCCCGTAAGCTCATGCCACAATATTTTGGACCACGGGAAGTTCTGGATGTAGTTGGGAATGAACCAAACGGGCCCTCATATGTTATTCGGATCCCTGGACACCTTCATACCTACCCTCTTTTTCACTCCTCTAAGCTGGCACCGTTCGAAGAAACCGATCAGTTTCCCACTCGTCGCTCAATGCTGCCCCCAACCATGGATGGAGAAGTCGACATCGACGACATTGTGGACCACAAGGAAACGACGGTTCCAAGACCAATAGGCAGGGGACGTCCTCTGAAACCGAAGCTGCAGTACCGAGTTCGGTTCAGACATCACACTGATCCAAAGGAGGATAGATGGTTCACACGGGAGGAACTGATGCAGACTGCACCACAGGTTGTCGCCCACTATGAGAAGTTGCTGCAGAAAGGAAAGCGCCAGATTGAATGAACTTCTCAGAGGACTAGCCAAGTATGGAGGAGGGAATGTGAGGCTCAAGGCCTCGATTTGCCCTACTAGGCCCTGTTTTCTGTACGGTCGGCCGCCCTAAGAAAAGGCAGGCTCGACCCAGGGCCTACAGGCCTAATTTTGGGCTCGCCACGCAACTGGGTAAATTCAGGCAGTTGCGCAGTGCCAGTTGGTTGAGAGCGCCCAGGCCCGGGCTGCCTCTTTCGAATGTAACTGAGGCAGGCCCTGGGCCTGATTCGCAACATGGACCGAACACAGGCCGCGGGCAGTTGGACACGGGCAACCACCACAGGCCCAGGGCCTGTTTCGTTTGGACTGGGGCTCAGCCTCTCCGCGCCTACCGGAAGCTTCTGGGCAGGGGCCCGGCGCAGCCAGGCTGCACGCAAGGGAGGCAGGCCACTTCCATTTAGGAAAGTGCCTACCCATGCATTCGGCATTGGTTGCATGCTGCGCAATCGCTGCTGCACTAACGCTGGCCAGCGCTCACACTCATGGACGAGCTGAAGGAGCAGGCAGCCATAGCAGAGTTGCGCTGCTATGTGCTGGATGGGGCGCATGGTGGTCCTTGGGTGCACGTGGCATCTGTGAGATGGAGATCGAGGTTGTGAGTGATATGAGAGACCTACCTGGTGCTTGAGGCGAACGGCATTGGCCGAGATTTGAGCGTACTTCGGGGAGCTGTCGACGTCATCAACGGCATTGTAGATAGGATAGATAGGATCTGCCATTTGTAGTATGGGCACTGAGCGCCAGATGGGATGTCGACATTGGTTCTTTGTTGATGATGATGAGTCTACTCGAACATTGTCACTTATGAGCTTTTGCTGCGCTCTTATTTGGTGTGACTCGTGATGCAATTCTGCTTTTGGTTCAAGGTCACGACTATCTGGTCTCATAT